TAATCTCCGCGAGCAGCAGTCAGGCTTCGTTTCACCTCCTATGAGCCGCGATTCGCGATTCGCGCACTTTTATCGAGAATCTTGCACGAGAGTTTGCCTCCTTCCCTCCCCCGGGGAATGTTTTCGGCCCACATTCGAGGACACGACCTCTCCCGCAGCTGCAACCACGCCACGCGGAAAACTATCTCGCGCCTTTGTCCCCCGAGCAACACGAGCGAAAACTTTTCAATCGAGTTTCTCTCCTTCGCGCAGACTCTCCACCCTCTCTCCCTGATCGTACTTTCCCTCTCTTTTTTTTTTTTTTATCTTTACGCTCGCCCAGTCGAAACGAACGTCCCCGACTCTCAGCCGTGAAATTGTCACGCGAATCGAGTTTTATCGAATTCGCGAATTAATTCGCTCCCCCGTGCGCGCGTTACGATTCATTTGCTCCGTTGGACTCTGTAACAAAGTTTAGGGAGTCGAGGACACCACGAGGATAGGCCGAGGACGATTTTTCCGAGTTTCAGAGCTCTCCGGGTGGGTGTTCGCGAGGAGGGATTGGAAATAGTTTCGAAGAAGTTTGAAGGAGTTTGTGGGTATTTGTTGCCGATGGTAGTTTCACTTCGGGGGGCGGCGCTGTCGCGTTCTTTGAATTTGTTCTGGGAATTGTGGCTGCGATGATTTAATAGTAAACTGTGGACGTTCGTACAATGAAATTTTTTTTTGATTCTTCCGAGCGTTGAAGCTCGACTGTGACAGTTTGTCTATCAAATTTTTGTATCGTTAGATGATTTTTTAACGTATTGTTAACGTAGAGGAAAGGAAAATAAATTTTCTTTTTAGTTGAACTTGTATGTTTCAAATATTTTAATATCCGAACGTTATAGTAACAGAATGAAATATTTTCTAGTAGCAGATGAACTCTTAATTATTATTAATTAAGTTTGTTTTGATAGTGTAATATATAAATATAATAATATTCAAAAAAATTAAAAAAAATTATAATTATAAAATAAAATGATATTCATAATATTCAAAAAGTTGCATAATTGCACAAGGAAGGTACCTATACATTACATCCAAGCTGATAAATCGAAAAAAATAAAAAAGAGAACTGTAATTACATCGATTTAATAATAAATTGTTGATAAATATAACATGAAATTCTACATTGAAAAGCAAGTCGAAAAGAAAGAATGAAATTTTTTAATTTGAATCTCTGTTCTCGAGAAAACCAAGTTTGAAAACTAAACAAGTATAATCAAATTTAGCTAACTTTGGACTAGTTAAAAACAAATAACTTGGTAATAAATTGAATTTATTAAACTTCATTAAACATTCGTTCTCCAAAGAATTCAATTTTCTACTGTGAGCTAATTTTTAACATAATCAAAGTCTATTTAAAACGAGGTCTTATATGGAAAAATTTTATTCTACATTTGTCATTTCAATAGACTTTCTGTTCGTTTCTAACTATTTTAGGAATAGCTCAATTTAATTATGCTCGATCGATTTCTAAATTTGATTTTTCGAAGTTTTCTTGCGTAGAATCAGAAAGATGATGGATCACTCTATATTTGTTGATAATAGTAATTTTGTTTTAAAAGGTGTCATTGTTTCAAATTTATGGGAAACTATTTAGTTGGATCGATTTAATTATAAATTGTAGATTGGCATGAAATTCTTGGGATTCTTCTGAGTGTTGAAACTTCAAGTGGATGTTCGCGAGGAAGCTAGGAATTGGAAATAGTTTCGAAGAGAAAAGAGTTTCGAGAAGAGGAAGAACCTTCGAGGAACCACGTCTATTTATATAATTTAATCGTACTTTTTATTTATTTATATCTTTCTAAAAAGTATTTTATAAATACTTTGTCCACATGCAATTTAGTTGTACACTAAATATTAAAATTAAATTATTAAATTAAATATTGAATTAATTTATTAATTTTAATCGTATTTATGATTTCAAATTAAATGTTAAATTGATTTAAATCATTTTAATTATTCAAAAAATTATTATTATTATTATGTATTTTATAATTTTATACATTTACCTCGTACATTTGAAATCTTGATGAGAGAAAATTCCGTCAATAAATGCGATTCGTCGTACACTTGAAATTCCTCTTTGAGAAAACAGAAATTCTCCGTCGAATCACGTATGTATAGTAGTACTTGGGTTCGAGCGATTACCATCTTTTCACAAAATTGAAAGAGTTCTTGAGAAGAGGAAACGATGCAGGAGACGATCTTTTAAAGTTTAAAGGACGGCGAGTAATGGTTACGTGAACTTCCACAGGACAAAGTGTACAAAAACTCGTTTCATTATGAAAAGTGTTTCATCCATTAAAAGTCAAAATTGCGTTAACGTGACGTTTCATTTGTCATTCTTTTCAATTAAATCTTTCACTTGAACTCTATAATTTTATTCATAGTTTATAAATAAATATTTACAGTTTTCTATGATTTATAATTTTATGATAAATTTATCAATTTGTGATTTATAATTTTACGATAAATTTATCAATTTGTGATTTATAATTCTACGATAAATTTATCAATTTGTGATTTATAATTTTATGATAAATTTATTTATTTGTGATTTATAATTTTAAGAAAAATTTATTTATTTGTGATTTATCATTTTATGATAAATTTATCAATTTGTGATTTATAATTCTACGATAAATTTATCAATTTGTGATTTATAATTTTACGATAAATTTATTTATTTGTGATTTGTAATTTTATGATAAATTTATTTATTTGTGATTCCTAATTTTACGATAAATTTATTTATTTGTGATTTCTAATTTTACGATAAATTTATTTATTTGTGATTTCTAATTTTACGATAAATTTATTTATTTGTGATTTCTAATTTTACGATAAATTTATTTATTTGTGATTTCTAATTTTACGATAAATTTATTTATTTGTGATTTCTAATTTTACGATAAATTTATTTATTTGTGATTTCTAATTTTACGATAAATTTATTTATTTGTGATTTATAATTGTATAATAAATTTATTTATTTGTGATTTATAATTGTATAATAAATTTATTTATTTGTGATTTATAATTTTACGATAAATTTATTTATTTGTGATTTATAATTTTATGATAAATTATTAGTTTTTAATTGTTTACAACATCCTATAAAGTCACATATATGTACATGTATCCATATTTTGATAATCTTATTTCATATTTAATGCTTTGTTATTATATTTCATGAATATACCATTGACCAAAAATGTTACAATTATTGGTCTTCAGATTTCTAACTGATGTAACTACAAATGATTAATTCTAATAGCTACAATTTAAAAAAATTATAACAGGAAACAATAGTAGTTATAACGAGTTAATAATCCTGATTTTTTAGAGAGTTAAAAAGGAATGATGATTACATTAAAAAATAAGTGAGCGTTAGTAAAGAAATTTTTTAATAATACATTGTTATTTTTTTAAAACGCATATTACTTTTTGATCCCCTAAACGTTTAAAAAATATAATAATAATTTCATAAAAGATCTTTCTTCAAGGAAGAAAATTCGACAATTGAAAAACACACGTACATATCCATCCATTAAAATAGCGATACTTAAACCGGATGAAATCGATTTTGGATACTGTCATCACTTATTGCCTGACATACCGGTTTAACGTATTTAACTCGATATCCGATGTACTATCTTTCTCTATATGCTTTTTAACATCATATCGTGTACGTGAACACTGTTAGAAATTCCTTCCTATTTTTTTTTCTTTTTTTTTCATTCCTCTTATCGCATCGAATCCGGTAGACCGTAGTTAATCGCAGATGCATCGAAATCGAATTCGAGCTATTATCCTAGCGATGCACGAATCAATCGGTCGTCAATCGATTGGATAATTCGACCTAGCTTGCCAACAGCCGGGACAGACATCAGGCCCCGATGTCTGGTGCACTTGAGTGGATTTAAAAGTCGATAAAATTGTTTCTTATCAATGCAACCGGCTGCGAGCAACGAAACGGGCAAAAACTTTTCGGTACAATCGATATTAGCTGGTAAAAGCGTTCGACGGGAGAGTTGAACAGAGAACAAGTATTAATTTTCTAGTTAGGAATGATAAAAAAAAAAAGTTACTCATTTTATATTTTATTTTGAACATTTTACGTTTGATGTATTTGGAATATGGCATACGAACGACTAAGAAGCTAATCAACGTAACTTCGTTTATGTTGATGATTTAATTATGATATTGCAATGATTATCTTGTGATTGCTAAACTTGTTCATCAACTGAAGATTTTGACAATAGAAGGGTATTTGTTTTCGAAAGTGACTGACTGATCTCTGAGCCTTCTATATATCTATATAATATAATAATATATAATATAATAAAAAATAAATAAAAATTAAGAAATTAATAAAATTAACAATTGTATATATAATTGATTAATTATAATAACGTTATATAATATAATATTATATTATTATTACATATTATTGTATTTCATTAATAACGTATTATAATATAATAGTTGCGATTAATATAATATATTATATTAATATATTAATAATAATATATATATTATATAACTGTATTAATGTATATAATTATTTTTATTATTATTATATTAATATGATAATTGCAAAACGTAAGATAATGAACCAAGTGGCGAACTTTTCTATTTAATATTTTCCAACATCTCGTTCGCGTTTGTCGATTTTTCTTCAGCTCGTTAGGGACGAAACAATATTTTACCACAACGTTATAACAATCAATTTCTTTTTTCTATAAAATTGTGGAATCCACAGGCGAAACAATAATATTAAAATATAACAATATTATATATATATATATTATTTATAATACAATATAAATAATAACAATATTAAAAATTGATATTGGATAATGTAGATTAAATTTCACTTGATTAATTAAAATAACACAACTGAATTGATAGAAATTGAAGCTCACGCGCAACTGCCTTACCACCAGTGATTTAATTTCACGATCTATACATTTGCAGATCAAATAAGCGACGTGTGCAAGAAGAACTACATGCGAGATCTCTACAGAAAAATAGACGGGGCTGTTCTGATCTCGCAGCTCGAGAAGGACCTCGACTGCACCATCACCTTTCAAACGCATAGTATCCTCCAACGGTTCATGCTTCGTTTCGACCAACTGCAATTGGACTGCAACGATCATCTTTACATCTACGATGGTGCACACGCGGTCAGCAGTTACAAGGTAAAGTCCCCGGCGTTTCATTTCGTAGCGGTATATTCTATGAGCCACCGGGTAACCGGTTACTCGGACTTTCATAGTCGATCCGTCGTAGCGAAACGTATAACTCCGATCTGCATTCAAATTGGTGTGCCAAAGCTGGATGTAATATCGTCGCTTGGTCGTGAATTTGCATTCGGGGGAGCCGGCATAGTTATTGTTTGTTCGTTTCCAGCGAAATGTTTCCGATTTCCAGGGGGATGGATACTACTTGGGAATGAGTTTGGGAAACATTCGCGGTTCATGTGTAGATTTATTTTGCGTAAATAATAGAAGTAGAAAATGATTTCGTCGCCAGCATTTGAAAAAGAGGGGTTTGTGTTTGACATTGGCCAAAAATTTACTTCGCTTATATATATTTCTGTGATTTCAAAAACATTTGAGTTTATGCATTAACTGAATTGGAGGATATGGGATTTGTAAAATGAATCGAGATTTCGTAAAAGTGTAATAGAATTGATGGAAGTTATCATTAGTATTAGCATTACTACTAGTAAATTATGCATTGAGTTGTGTAAAAAATGTTCTTATTATTCTAATTATAATTATATAACTATGTATTATGTATTGTATTACAGATATATATTATTCATATTAAGACAATTGTAATACAAGCATATTTGTATTACAATTATACGTTAATATATTTATATCATGATTGTATTATATAAAAAAATACTTTACACAATATTTAAAAATTAGTTTAATTTAAATTAACAAATTAAAGAAGACTCATAAAATGTTCAAAACTTTTATTTTATATATTTGAAATTTGACAAATGCATGTAAATTTCTGTGATTTACTGTGTATGTATATATGGTCTAGTACATCCACACCCATTGTATAGAATTCCTCTCATAATTGTCCTAACAATTAATATGTATTAATATGTTACTTTCTGTTATATTACTATCTAGTGCAGATGTAACAGTACCATTTTTTTTTTAAATTTGACAATTAATATGTAAAGTTTCTATTATACTACTATCTAGTGCAGATGTAACAGTACCATTTTTTTTTTTAATTTTGAAAATTAATATGTGAAGTTTCAATTATACTACTATCTAGTGCAGATATAACAGTACCATTTTTTTTAAATTGGACAATTAATATGTGAAATTTCTGTTATACTACTATTTAGTACAGATGTAACAGTACCATTTTTTTTTTTTAAATTTGACAATTAATATGTAAAGTTTCTATTATTCTACTATCTAGTGCAGATGTAACAGTACCATTTTTTTTTTAAATTTGACAATTAATATGTAAAGTTTCTATTATACTGCTATTTAGTGCAGATGTAACAGTACCATTTTTTTTTTAATTTGATAATTAATATGTACCATTTTTTTTTTAAATTTGACAATTAATATGTAAAGTTTCTATTATACTGCTATCTAGTGCAGATGTAACAGTACCATTTTTTTTTAAATTTGACACTTTGAATTCATAGTTCACAAAAAAAAAGAGAACCTATTTAGTCAACCATATTACCTACAAATTAGCAAAACTTTTTTTAAATTTGACAATTAATATGTAAAGTTTCTGTTATACTACTATCTAGTGCAGATGTAACAGTACCATTTTTTTTTTTTAAATTTGCCACTTTGAATTCATAATTCACAAAAAAGAAAGAGAACCTATTTAGTCAACCATATTACCTACAAATTAGCAAAGTAGTCCTCAAATTAGCAAATTGATAAGACTTAATGAGACAATATTGTTAACAATGTGAGAAAATTCACAAAAGGAAAGAGAAAGGAGAAAAGAGAAAATACAAAGAGAGACTTGACGTGCATCTTCCTAGCAATTGCACCCAACTTGGGAAGCAACGTTGAAAAGGTTCATTCGCGTAAATAGCGCTTCTCTAATCAGCGTACGATCACCAGCCGCTAATAATGACTAATGCGGAGTCCGAGGATGAAACGTGACTTTTTCTCTCCGATTAACGTTTCGAAAGCGTAATTACCTTCATCGATCAAAAGATGAAGCGGTAATTTGCAGCGGGGTACGACGTTATTTTTCCGTGATTACCGTCAGGGACAATGGCGTCCTGCCAATGGGCGCCGAGTTCTCAGATGTGAGGGCCATTTTAATACATCCTCGTCCCATTATAAATTCTGAGCATGGCCAGAGCCGCGGAGGCGCTGGAAACTTGCACCATTAATCAAGATTCCGTCTCTTGCCGGAAGAGAGGTACGCTTCGTTTGCCTGTTTCTTTGTTCGGAATTTATTTTTCTTGATCGGCAGAGGTTTCAATCTGAAATTATTCAGATTTCAATGAAATTCGCACTTTTGCAGATTTATTGGGGCTTCCGTTCAGATGTAGATCAGTTTCACCAGCTGCGAGGTGGAATTGACTCGTGTCTTGGATTCTTCTGCATTTCATTTTACATATTTCACTCGTCATTTGGATTTTGTGTTCTGGATTCCTTGCAGTTTCATTTCACTTGTTTCTCACGTACTTGTTGGATTTTGTTTTGAATCTTTTTTTTTTTTTTAATTTATGATTAGCGACGGCTAGGTACTGTTTCCTTCTTTCCAAGACGATTATATCTTGTGGTAGATGATAATTCTGGACATTTTCTATGTGTTTCTGCGACGTCAGGACTGCCGGTGAAGTTATTTTGTATTTTTGCCTTTTATTTCACTTTCTCGCTTTGGATTATTTGAATCGGGTCATGAAGTTTTCTTATACTTCATTTCACACCTTTCATTCATTACTTTCATTATATTTTGGAGTTTTTTTGTCTTATTAATTTCACTTATTGTTCTGATTATATTTTGGATTTTTCGCAGTTTTATTTTACTTATTTTACTTGTTATTCGAATTGTATCTTGGATTTCATTTTACCGGTTTATTTTTGAAAATTGTAACAGTGTACGAAATGTCTTATGCATTTTATTTGAGTTATTTTATGTATTTTGGATCTTCTGAATATTCAGATTTAGAAAACGTTTGAAAAATGTTTGAATGTTTGAATGTTCTGATATCTATAGATCAGCGTTATGAATATTTTAAGTATTTTAATTATGTTAAACGCATTATATGTAAATTCTCAAACCATCTATTTAATTTTCAAATACCATGATACTTTTAAAGTTCCTGTTCGAATGTCATTTGCTTCTAATTGCTAAGAAAATCTTCCAAATCTTCTAAATTTTAAAAATATGTAAAGTTAATTGCTCAAGTCTTTATAACTCTATAATAAATTATAAACGAAATTAACCTTAATATTAATGTTGAAAAAATACTCGAAAACATTACGTAATGCTCTTTCAGTTTGATACACATAAAAGAGATCATAATAATTTTAATGTTTTCTTGGTCGTCAGTATTTTAATTTTGTTCAATTTCGTTTATACAATTTATTGCGTAGAGAATAATAAAAATAAAATAATTTTGTATATTTGTAAATTGAATGATATACTTTAATATAATATTACGATTCAGAAAGTTTCATAATCGCATTTCAAATAAGTACATAGAGGATACTTATAAGAATCATAGTATCTGAATATCAAATCGTGTATTAGATTTATACGTTTATTAATCAGTTCAATAATTAGTATACTTTGTCTACACTTGAAATTATATACTTCAAATACTTCAGTGTTGTTGTGTACAGAAAATTTGGCAACAGAAAGATTTAAGTAAATATAATAATAAGTAACAAAATATTTAAAAGACATTTTCTTAAGCCAAAGCAGCAAAATAAATAAAATGAAATAAAGCAGCATTTGAAGTTTTATTTATTACTCATTGTTACAATATTTAGTAATTAGCTACAAATTAATACACAAAAAGAAAGAGGATTAATACACAATTATCGTATTGGATTCTTTTTGCGTTTTGCCTTTCATTGTTGTAACTCCTTTCAAGACTTGTAACCAGTTAATTGTAGCTTTCACTGTTTAATTAATTTTTCTGCAGTTCTAGTTTCTCTTATTATTTTTTTATGTGAAAGTGAATGTCATACTGCGTAACAGTTATTTCTCAACGAGCATTGTACGTATTATGCATAATTACGTTTACTATTTTCTGTTTTTTAATAGTACTAGGTGGCAGACTTATGAAACTGTTAATTATCTCTACACTCTATAATTACATAAAGTATGCTTTGACCATCCTCTTATAGATTTCTGCTATAACTAACAGAATCGGTTATTCGATCTATGATTCCTCTTATGAAGAGTCAAATCGTGTGTGGCACCAAATCTCATAGTTTTCTTTTGATCTATATTCAATTCGCGCGAAGAGTTTTGTCGAGATTAAAAAATGTCTCGATTGACGTTTAAATGTTAATATTGCGACTACAAACTTTTATGTAACTTCATATTTTTGAGACTATATAAGAATTATTATATTATAATTATAATATATTAATATTATTATTATTATTATAGTATATTAATAGAATTATAATATTATTATAATTAGTGTAATTTAAAAAAATGGGATTTTGATGGAAAATTGCTTCATGTATTGAATATTATAAAAAACGCTTTTATTCTGTGTATTTTTTTTATATTATATGCATTTTCTGAAATTTTGCACTTCAAAATTTTCCATGAATGCATAAAAATTCGCACTCTAGTAATAACTAAGTGAACGAAGTCACAACTTCAGTTTTTATTCTTTCTTTCGAATTGTAAGAGCAAACTTACATTTCTTATTATCGGCTGGATGTGATTAGATATTTTGCTTAGATATTGGTGTAGCATTTTGAGCTTTTTAGTTCAATTTCAAATATTCCACTTCTTCAAATACTTTAAATATTTTCTTTTATGTACAGGAACTTTGATTATACTACAAATATATGTATATTTCATAATTTTTAATGTTTCTTATGGTTTTAAAAAAAATGAAAATATCCTAGACATTTTAGATATGTGTCGTACACTTATGGTGAAAATTGGATACAATTTTCCAGTTGTCTCTATGAGAATGTAACAGAGATAC